TCTTATTTTTCGAAAAGGGAAACTCGAGAGCCCTCCCACCGAAAACAAATTATAACATCGTTTTGTATGATTGTAAATAAGGCAAAAAATATTAAAAAATAAGTTAAAAAAATTTCTTTACACAATAAAAATTCTTTCAGAATGAGGTCATTTTGACCGATTTTAGGCAATATAGGTAAATACAAAATTCCCGTCTTTCTAGTGTTAAACAGGACTATTAACATGTAATTGGATGAAATAAAATATGTGATATTTATCTAAATGTGAATCTACCTAGATCTGTCCATAAAGTATGTAAATCGACTTCAAACAAATATAAACCGGCCATCCGTTGGGCTATGTCTGTACATCTAGAAAACGCAACTACGTAATTCTATGCTCAATTTTTTACCTTGTGCAAAATTTGATGTCAATCTGACTAACATGAAGAGTTTGATGCCCAATTTACTTGAAATCGGGCGAAAATATATATGGAAGCTCTATCCAAATATTAAGCGATTTCAAACAAACTTGTCACAGGTTAGGTTATACTAATTTCAGAACGTTCCTATTGGTTCCTTGGTGCGTCAATTACTTAAAATCAATCTATAATAAAAGGGAGCTATATCTGAATCTGGACCGATTTTCCCGAAACAAGGCAGACATCACTCTAGGCTCAATTCAGTACGTTATGCCAAATTTCGTGCAAAGCGCAAGATATATGTGGTGAACCATTTACATGAAATCGGACGAAACTATATATGGGAGCTTTATCTAAATCTGGACCGATTTTCACGAAACTTGGCAGACATCATTCTAGACCTAAATGATTAGGCTGTACCAAATTTCGTGCAAATCGTAAATATATAAATATATAAATCGGTTAAATATATATATATATATATATATATATATGGGAGCTATATCTAAATCTGAACCGATTTTTTTCCCAATTTCAATAGGGTTCGTCCTTGGGCCGAATAAGTTACCTATGCCAAATTTCATCCAATTCGGATCATAAATGCGACCTGTACTTTGTTTACAATTTAACATGGACAGACAGACGGACGGACGAACATGCATAAATCGACTTAGAAAGTGATTCTATGCATATTCTCAAAAGGAACCATTTGTCTATCTCGTTTCCTTTTGCCTGTTACAAACATATGCACAAAGGCATAATACCCTGTACCACAGTGTGGTGAAGGGTATAACTATTATCAATTTTCTTAAATTCATTTTTAGCACTTTTTTCTGGCACTTTTCTAAAATTTTTAACACTTTTTAGCATATTCTTCAATAAAATATAGAACCGTTTTGGCAACACTGGTCCACACTGATGCAGATGAGGAAGCAATTCGAGAATACAGGGAGAATGCAAACCTCGGAAAAGCCTGCCATAGATACCAGCACCAAATATTAAGCGAGACCGCTAGGAACTAGATGGGTTTTGGCACAACTGAAATTTGGGAAGTGTTGACGGCTTAATTCATATCAGCTACAATTTTATGGTATGGTGGATAATATTTGCCTGGCATGTAATAATAATCCACATGACACAATACAACTAAACCCACTTCCCTAACCCTTTCTTTACTATGGACACAGTTAGCACAGGTTGCAGCTTTTTTGAGCCTGAAATTAGAAGCAGAACTAGGTTAGCAGAAAATTTACAGCAGTAAAAGAAACCATTGGTTTAATGAATTTAATCGTGACTAATGCTCACTCAAATTCGAAGGACGCCCAAAAACGGCACTTTTGCCACGGGCCCCAAAGATTGTTAATCGAAGTAATTCAAACAAGTAAAAACCTCCTTAAGTTTGGCGCGGACGAAATTTTTATACCCTCCACAATTAGGTGGATCATTCAAAATAACTTAAATTGATCGGGGCTTAAATATGAGTGCTCTGCGGTAGTAATTTTCTGTCAGTAGAAATGATTTATGAAACTACAGGCAGGTTTCTGAAAAATTAGAAAAATATGACTTAAACATACCAAATATGAAGCAAGACTTTTGTATTTAAAATCATGGATGAAATTGCGAATATTCCGTGTTACCGTGCTACTGTCAATATTCAATGCCAAAGTTTGAATATTGACAGTAGCCAGATTTGCTTTCCATTTAAAACCCAAAAAATATCTATATAACAAAGTCCATATATATCTTCCGATTTGCACGAAATTCGGCATAGCGTACTGAATTAAGTCTAGAATGATGTAAATGGTTCACCAAAGACCCTATATATCTTACCATTTTCACGAAATTTGGCGTAGTGTACTGACTTGAATCTAGAATGATGTGTGCAAAATTTCGTGAAAATCGGTTCCAATTTAGATATAACTCCCACATATATGTTCGTCCGATTTCATGTAAATAGTGTACCAAAGTCCCTATATAAATTTCGATTTACACGAAATTTGACATAGCATACTGAATTGAGATTAGAATGATGTATATACATTTCCTTGAAAATCGGTTCAGATTTCGATATAGCTCCCATATATATTTTTGGCCGATTTAATGTAAATGGTTCACCAATGTCCCTATATATGATTTGATTTCCACGAAATTTGGCATAGCGTACTGACTTGAGTCTTGAATAATGTGTGTTAAGTTCCATAAAAATCTATTCAGATTTAGCTCTCATAAATATTTCCCTCGATTAGTGCACCAAAGTCCCTATATATCTTTCGATTTGGACGAAATTTGACATAGCGTACTGAATTAAGTCTAAATTAAGTATGTTTCATGAAAATTGGTGCAGATTTAGATATAGCTCTCATATATTTTCGCCCGATTTAATTTTAATTTTTAATTTTGCACGAAATTTGTCATAGAGACCAGAACTGAGTCTAGAATGATGTGTGTAAAGTGTCCTGAAAATTGTCCGATTTTAAGACCCAAAGTTAGGCCGATTCCCACACAATTTTGCACAACGTACTAAAGTATGTGTAGTTTTGTGACAAGTTTTGCTGAAATTAGTTCGGATTTAGATATAGCTCCTATAATATTCAGTCTAACTTAGTCTATTTTCATCCTATTTTAAGTAAATAGTGCACCAAACTCTTCGTGTTACTTGGGCTCTAACTATTCAACGGGTTCATAGCATTTGGTCCCATTGTAACAAACGAATGACATGTTTATGGATTGATCTAGGTCGGTTCACATTTATATAAATGTCATATATTTTAGTTTATCAAATTTCATCTTAATGACATTTTTAATATACCCATGGTGGTATCATATAGTCGGCCCCGACAGACATTACTACTTTCCTTACTGGTTTTTTTTTATTATTATCGCACCTCGAGAAAAGAACCGTGGTCAACTATTTTCAGCATCGGAAGATGATGTTGAAGCATTCAAACCCCTATATTGGGGATCTCTTTTAATCGGAGTGGAATTAATAGCTTTGGTAATAGGTTTGAGTCTATTCATTCATTCATTAATTATGCCGGAGAATGTCCGATAATAAATATATCCATTTTCAGTATTAAACCAGAAATATGTATAGTAGCCTACGTATTCCTTATTGTGATTCTATGCAGTAATAATTAAAAATAATAATGTAAGAAAATTTTCTATTTTCTAATGCTTTATCACAAATATATTTTCAATAGGAAATATGATGTTTAAAAATATTTATTTGTTTTTAATATTACACACACATCCATTGCACACATATGTTTCCTTACTATATATTTGTATTATAGTATTTCTTTCCATAACCATATATAAATATTGATTGCAATTGCAATTGAATACATAAAAATACACACAATCCTAACCACCCACACACATACCTATGTATATTTGAGGCATACATACAAATAATTTCCTTCGCATGTGTGCATTCAGCTGTTTCTAATTAAAACTGCAATTTGTTGTTTGTAAAAATATTCATTGAAGATATAATGAATTTTTCCCACTACCACGTGTGCGTGTGCATAATAGCAAAAATTGTTAATATGTTAATGTGGCTGCCGTTCAATAATAATAATACTGGAAATTGTGAAAATCTCATTCCGGTGGTGTGTGTGTGTGTGTGTGGAGGCCACATAACACGCATATCAATTGCATATATATATATATATATACACCTGCACCTACACACTTATACGATATATATTTTATTTAATAAATATTACTACTTCTACTTCCTTCTCCGTATAAACATTTATTATTGAAAATGAAATTTTATAGTGAGTTTAAAAAATATATTTTTAAACAGTAAAATTTAATGGCCATTTTTATTGATTTCGCTGGCAATTTTTTATTTTTTCCACAAAAATGAGTTCAAAGAATACCCCCGTTCAAGCCAATTCTTTAAAATTACTTTATTTATTAAAAAAACCAAAACAAAAATAAAGTCAAACATTAAAAATGACTTGCTCGGTCCAATTCAATTGCCACCAAATATTCATTTACTTTTATGGCATGGACAATTTATTTATAGGAAACAAAACAAAACAACAAAGTGTTTTCAATTTTCCCGGGTCCCTTTTGTTTATAAGCAACAAACTATTAAATATTTATTGTGTTAAAATGCCATATGAGCTGTAAAAATACTGCAGTCGAACATTAATTTGTAGCGGATATAAAAATGAACACTGACTGTGGCAATGGCAATGCACTTTTCGGAATTGACAATGACATTCATATGAAAGTGTTTGCAAGAAAGAGAGGGAGAGAGGCTTTTTTAAAGCGAATATGTTGGTCATATTATGATAGAAAATGGGATTTAAAAAATATTTAGAAAATATGCGGAATGTCGAATATATACACAAAGGAATTTTTGACATACAAAATCATACATATGTATGTATATATTTTTTCCCATATATTCATCGGGGCTTACAAGCAGTTTTTATATAAAGTTTTTTTCTTAATGAACTTTAAAGCAGCGAAAAAGTAATCACACCACAACTCAAAAACTTGAACGATGGCGAAATTGTTCTTAATATACACACCAAGGGTTTTCATCCCCATAATTATTACCTTTTGGGGATTGAATACTTACAATTAATTCCCGATCAGCAATAATGGTGCCAAATGTAATAGACATCACAGGACCCATTAACGGTGATACCAACATAGCTGCCGTAATGTTGGGTGCATTATTCTCCACTAAACCTAAAGCGGCCAAGGAACTGTTGAAAGAAAAATAAAATTTGTCAATTTTAGATTTTCAGGTACTAACAAAAAAATCAAAAGTTGTTTGACATTATTAACATTTCTGGGCCAAAGTACCCACAAATGTCCTATTGAATAAATAAAAGGGTTGCTGGACAAAACTTACTCGGCCGTTACAATTAGTAGCAGATAATCAAAGGACAATGAACCCCCGGCACGTACACCATCAACAACCTGTTTTACGGTTAACTTCGATTTAATTGATTCCACAAAATTGTTCCACTTCGACAGTTCTTCACCATCCAATGGATCGCTATGGAATACAAAGAAGAAGAAAAAAACGCATCAAAAAAGACAACTCAAAGCACAAGACATTAAATTGTTGAGCCGTGAAATCAATTTGCTATGCAAGAGAATTGAAAATTCCGCAATTGCCTCGGCCAATTGAAATGACTATTTCAATAAGCAGCTATGAAGGTTCGTGGAAATGATTTCTAAAGACATTTCTTTTTTATTATTAAAAAGGAAATACTTACCTAACATCTTCCATAACAGTTAAGGCATCATAGCTAACACTGCAGGGTAGGACACTGGAATGGGGAAGTAAAAATAATGAAATAAATATTTAAAAATATTTTAAATGAAATGCAAATTTGTAATTCCGTTTATAACACCTTCAAGTGCAACAATACAGACGTAGATTTTTTAAAAATAAATTTTTAAGGAAAACTATATATGCATTAATTTGTTTAAAATATTTTTTTTAAGGAACAATACAGACTTAGATTTTTTAAAAATTCTTTTTAGGGGAAAAATATAGGAATAGATTTTTTTTAAATCTTTTTTCAAGGAACAATACAGGCGTAGACATTTTAGAAATACTTTTTTTTCAAGGAACAAGACTTTTTTGTCCTTGCAAACATATTCTTTAAAAATCCACGCCCCTATTGGTCCATAATAAATTATTCTTTAAAAAATCCATGCGTTTTTTGACATCGAAAACAAGTATTATTGCAAAAACACACGCCTCCTTAAATCTTCAAAAAATTATTTTTAAATAATTCAAGGTCTACTTTGGTCTTCAAAAAGTATTAATAAATCAAGACCTATTTTAGTCTCGAAAAAGTATTATTTAATAAATCAAGGCCTATTTTGATCTTCAAAAAATATTCTTTAATAAATCAAGGTCCATTTTGGTCTTCCAAAAAAATTATATTCTCTAATAAATCAAGGCCTTTTTTGCTCTCGGAAAAAAATAGGTTAATATACACACGCTTTATTTGGGCCTCGAAAAAATATAGTTTAATATATACACCTCTTATATTCTTTAATAAATCCACGCTTTTCTTGGTCTCGGAAAATTGTTTAATAAAACCACGGCTTCTTTGTTCCCCAAAAAATATTCTTTAAAAAATCCAGGGCATTTTTGTTACTCGAAAAATATTCTTTAAAAATTCCAGGGCTTTTTTGTTACTCGAAAAATATTCTTTAAAAATTCCACGGCTTTTTTGCCCAAGAAAAAATTGTCTTTAAAAATTCCACGGCTTTTTTGCCCACACAAAAATATTCTTTAAAAAATCGAGGCCTGTTTTTGTCCTTGCAAGAAATATTATTTAATAAATCCACACTTATATTGGTCCTTGAAAAAATAGTCTTTAAAACTCAACGCCTATATTGATCTTTGAAAAAAATATTCTTTATTTAATCCACGCCTGTTTTGGTCCATGAAAGCATATTCTTTAATAAACCACGCCTGTATTGGTCCCTGAAAAGATATTCTTTAAAACCACACCTGTTTTGGTCCTTGAAAAAATATTCTTTAAAAAATCCACGACTGTTTTATTCCTTGAAAAATATTCTTTATTTAATCCACGCCTGTTTTGGTCCTTGAAAAATATTCTTTATTTAATCGACGCCTTTTTTGGTCCTTAAAAAATATTCTTTAAAAAATCCACACCTGTTTTGGTCCTTGAAAAAATATTCTTTAAAAAATCCACGCCTGTTTTGGTCCTTGAAAAAATAGTCTTTAAAAATAAACGCCTATATTGATCTCTGAAAAAAATATTCTTTAAAAATCAACGCCTATATTGATCTTTGAAAAAAATATTCTTTAAAAAATCCACGCCTGTTTTGGTCTTTGAAAAGATATTCTTTAAAAAATCCACGCCTGTTTTATTCCTTGAAAAAATGTTCTTACTAGTTTAAAAATATGAAGTTTCTGGAATTGCTTTGACAATAGAAATGCCCTAATTCCAAACCATTCAAAACAATTTTCGTCCACATATCCCATTCTGGCCTTTATTCGCATCTTAGCATCATATCTTCTAAGCAAGAGCCGTTTATGTAGCCATTTAAACGTTTTTGAATGCAACAAACCCTTCACGACCTTATCAACTTTGTACGCCAGCAAAGCCAGAACATCATAAAAACTGTCAACAACACAAAAATGGCGAGAACACATTTCAAAACTTTGCCAAGCTGATAAGAATGGCCACTTAAAAGCCCATACCAAAGAGTGAACTTTTATGGCTGCCACCGCCGCCGCCAATACAGCACATAATAACTCGTGATGTTGTTGGCTTAGGTGTTCTAAGACAACAATATCAGCAACAACTACAACAACACCAACAACTCATGTACATATTGCTGTGGGTGTCATAAAATCCTATAGCTGCAACAGAAACGTTGTCCTCAACACTCAGCCCAGGCAGTTTGGAGCAGCATTGAAATAAATGTCTGGCCGTGTTGTCTTTTGCACTTCGGGGACAATAGACAAACTTGGCTGTCTTGTGAAGTGCAATACAATACCATAGTGGCGACTAAAGGCAATATCTTGCATTTTGTTTGAGTGTATGTGTGAAAGGACAAAAGAACAAAAAAGTTTGTAGTGGACTCCAAGTCCTCCTTTCTCTCCAGTTTGTTATTGTTTTTCATAACATGTTTATAGTCATTTTCGCTTTCGTTATCCAAGTTTCTGTTTGTGTGTCCTGCCCATGATTGTCTTCTAGAAACAGTGTCACAAGTCCTTTCACGAGAGACTCATAAAAACGAGTATCTCAACTTACCTGACACTAGAATTCAATTTAGTGCCAATACCCAGTTCCGTTAAACAATGTAAAGTGGTTTCACATGGCTCTCCCGATTGCAATGGGAACACAACATGATGAAAGTATCCTTTTTTACTTGTCGTCCAGGTGACGTGCTCTATTTCCAACTTAACCAGTAATTCTTCAAGAACCTGAAATTAGAAATAACAACAACAATAGAAATGTTATTAAAATAAAGTAAGAGAGTTACATTACTTAAGATGAATGACTTAGAGTTAAGGATATTCAATTTCCAAATAGCAGTTGCTTATGAATAAATAGAAGTTGCATATTAATAATCCTCGAAAAAAAATCTTTAATAAAACCACGCCTTTCTTGGTCCTCGAAAAAATATCGTTTAAGGAAAAAATACTCTTTAAGAAATCCAAGCCTTGTTTAGTCCTCGAAAAAATATTATTTAAGATATTAATCGATCAACGCCTATATAGGTCCTTGAAAAAGTATTCTGTAATAAATCCACGCTTCTTCGGTCTTTCAAATATATTCTTTAATAAATCCAAACCTTTTTGTCCTCGAAAAAATATTCTTTAATAAATACACTCTTGTATTTGACGCGTTAAAAATATCCTTTGCTAGTATATCAGCTTCCTGTTCCGCTTTTCTTTACCACCTGTTTGCCAAATAATAAATCTTACCAAATTTCCTAATGAAAAAATACCATTCATAAAATTCCATTTCGTTGGCTTTCGTGCCATCTCTCTTGGCCAACATCTTTATTGCCATATTCACTTTCACATTTTGTCACATAATCGTAAACATGTTTATTTTCTATTCCACCTTATTTGTGAAATCATTATTTAACCCTAAATACGAGCAAATTTTCTTCAACTGGTATGTGTATATGGGCGGGACATTTGTACACGCACGATACAACATCATCGTAAAAATATCTACCCAAACCCACTTACCTTTTCTAGGGGTATTATTGTATTACCCTTTAAGTCGGTCATAACATTAGTAATGTTACCACCGCCCCCTCCACTACCATCTGTAATGGCACGATTATTATGGCCACCTGGCCTTGTGGCCATACCACCACGGCCTCGTCCTCCACCCGCTGCTGAAGATGGCAGACCGGCTGCACGTCGGTATTTGGGTGCATTCTTGTCACGTAGCTCAACTTCAAGTCTTAATATTGCGTTGTTATTTTCCGGAAGATTGATGTTAAGGTTATTATTGACCCCACCTCCGCCGCCAATGCCGCCCACGCCAATACCTCCCTTGGTGGCTATTGTATGGACCGGTATGTTCGGTGATGACAAATCTTGATTGTTACCTGTAAATTTTGTAGTAAAGGACATCATATAAATGTGGCTTTCAAACGTGTATGTATGTGTATAAAAGTGTGTGTGTGTTTGTTGTGTTTCATGCTGTTAGGGCAGATGTCATGAGGCCAATGTTTAGGAACATAAACATTTTGTACGCCTCATATAGTCAGACGTGATAGCTTGTTTATGATGTGTGATGTATTGTATATATACTTAAAATTCTGGATTACTCACTCCTACATTCTCTACCCAATTCAATATGCTTACTCTCTCCCTATCCCCCCACAATTGTAATTATATTCACAGTAGTGTAAATAATACGATTACAATTAAAATTCGATGATTTCTGCTGTGTCAGATTTGTGGATATTGGTTGCCATACCACCAATGAATGCCATTTGTGTAAGCTTGCTGCGAAATTTCGCTGTCGCCAATGAATCCTTTTGTAATTATTGCCAGCTTGGCATTTGACTGTTTGAAAATGAATAATCAAGAAACCAAATTCAAATTGAAATATCGCTTCGATTGTATGTTGCTTAAGTATTCACAGGAAATAGGCCAATGTTAGAAATTTCTTCGGAAGACATTCTATGAAAGGAGTGAAATGTTAATTGCTAGAAATGATTCGGAGGGAATTGTGTAAAAATGGTTTGGAAGGGAGGCACAGAGCTGGATCGATTTAGTTAATCAATAGAACTATATTGCGGCCCGACCCAATTATATGGTCGGAAATAATCATGTCTGACCCTCTCGGGTAATCACTCTAGTCTCTAAACGAATTGAGATAGATCTCCCAAATTTGTCATAAAGTTTGTTTTTGTCTGAAGGCAGGTTACCTTTGGTACACATATAACGGTACGTCCATTTTCCGTATTTTGGGGGTTTTTCAATCGTAATTTAGTACATTGGGTTCTTATTGGGACCAAATTTCTCCATTTTTCGATATTATGCGTTCGTTTTTAACCGAATTCGCTGCAGTTTGGAACTTTGCGCCTTTATTGGGTTAATTATAAAGATATGTCAACTTTTTGCAATAGCCAACATAGAACGGTACCCCACATTTTCGGTACCCCATTTGTACAAGACAGCCAAGGCATAATAAAAGTACTGTCATGAAATGCCAAAGTACAGACACTCTGAAAAATTGGGCCAGGGCGTTAAAAATACCGAAATAACGTTTGATCTTCGTAGGGGGACTATGTGGAATTATGGATTTATACTATAATGTTCTATGAGGAATTTTTTACATATCACGATCCGGAATGCCACTTCGTAATGCTAAAATATAGTCACTTTTGTTAGAAAATATGAGAAAAAAAATCCTAACAAGGGCCTGGATTTTTTATATGGGCTACATTTAAAGATCAACCAATATTTAAAATATCCAATAAGAGTCAACACCGATGAAAAAACATATCTGAAATCCGCCACATAACAAACGTACCGAGATTTGTACCGAGATTTGTCATACAGTGTTAACCTAAAATCACCCAATAAGGAAAGCAGTAAAGTCTGACAGGGCCAACTATAAAATAACCTTCACCACTTTTCGAGCAAGTCGAAAGACTTTGGTGTACCGTTTATATTAAATCCGATGAAAATATATATGGGAGCAATATCTAAATCTGATTTGGCCTTGGGCCAAATAAATGAGCTGTGCCAAATTTCATCCAATTCGGATCATAAATGCGACTGTACTTTGTTTACAATTTAATATGGACAGACAGACAGACGGACATGCATAAACAGTTGCGTAGGTCTAATCGGTTCAATATAGCCTCCGAATATAATTCCCGTTATGACGCTATTTAATCAGTTCATACGAAATTTGCACATATCACCAAATATACACGTATGTTCAATAGTGATTCAATCGGGTCAGATGCCAATGTATAATACTGTGACACAAAATCAAACTTATGGGGAGTATATTAGGAACACAGAAGGAAAACCAGTAAGGAAAGTAGTAAAGTCGGACTGGGCCGACTATATGATACCCTTCACCACTTTGGGTATATTCTACATATGTATCCTAACATATGTAGAATATATCTGAACCGATTTCAGGGAAACTTGCCAGAGACTAATTTATATTACATCAGTACGTTGTGTCAATCGGCCTAGCTATGGATCTTTTCACGAAGCTTAGCAACATCATTCTAGACTTAATTCAGTAACCTATACCAAATTTGTGCAAATCAAAAGATATATACGGACTTTGGTGCACCAATTACATAAAATCGGTCGAAAATATATATGGGAGCTATATATAAATCTGAACCAATTTTCATTAAACTAAGCACATATTATTATAGACGCAATTCAGTACGCTATGCCAAATTTCGAATGATATATAGGGTCTTTGGTGCACAATTTACCTTAAATCGGACGAAAATATATATGGGAGCTATATCTAGATCTGGACCGATTTTCAGGAAACTCAGCACTCATCATTCTATGCCTAATTCATTACGCTGTGCCAAATTTCGTGCAGATCAAATGATATTTAGGGACTATAAATCGGACGAAAATATATATGGGAGCTATATCTAAATCTGGACCGATTTCCAGGAAACTTAACACACATCATTTTAGTCATAATTCAGTACGCTATGACAAATTTCGTGCAAATCGAATGATTTTCAGAGATTTTGGTGCACCAACTACCTAAAATCGGATGAAAATATATATGGGAGCTATATCTAAATCTGAACCGATTTTCACGAAACTTTGCACATATTATTATAGACGCAATTCAGTACGCTATGCCAAATTTCGAAAGATATATAGAGACTTTGGTTCACCATTTACATAAAATCGGACGAAAATATAGATGGGAGCTATATATAAATCTGAACCGATTTTCAGGAAACTTGACACACATCATTCTAGACCTAATTAATTAGGCTGTGCCAAATTTCGTGCAGATCGGATGATATTAAGGGACTTTGGCGCACCATTTACCTTAAATCGGACGAAAATATATATGGAAGCTATATCTAAATCTGGACCGATTTCCAGGAAACTTAACACACATCATTCTAGACATAATTCTTTACGCTATGCCAAATTTCGTGTAAATCGAAAGATATGTAGGGACATTGGTACACCATTTACCTTAAATCGGACGAATATATATATATATTTTTTTTCCAATTTCAATAGGGTTCATCCTTGGGCCAATAAGTGACCTATGCCAAATTTCATCCAATTCGGATCATAAATGCGACCTGTATTATAGCTTCGTGCAGCCCCAAGAAATATTGGTCCTAGACCAACCTTTAAGTATACCTTTAAGTATACTGTGGCCTAGATCGACTAAGCTAGTCGATCTAGTTATGGACCAATCTTCACGAAATTTTGCACGTATAATGGGTTCTGGCCAATGAAAACCCTAATTGTTTTTGGAAAAGATAGGTTAATATTTAGGGGATAAAATGGACCAAATACTTTATTTCGTCGATTTTTCTGGTCGCTCCAGAGGCCACAATTATGGCCCAAACATTTTTACATGGAGGAGGGGATTGGGCCAAAGAATAAGCATCCCTGTTTTGATAAAAATAGGTCTATATTTAGCGGGTCAAATGGACCCTGACTTTTGTGTGAAAAATGACAAAATTTGTATTCTATAGCATATATATTTGCCCCTGAAAAACATAGAGCCGAGTATATCCAAGAGGAGTGGATGGCCTTTAAATTGATACCAATTACATTGTAGTACGTACTCGGATGTGGGAGTTACACTCATATATTATTTAGTAACACATTAACACACTAGAGGCGGAAATATAGCGCGGATCGTTTTAAAATTTTCCATGAGGATCCAAGTGTGGTCAAGAATAACGCCTTTAATTTTCGGTGATAATCATATAATAATAATATTGTTTAAAATTGTTTTCTTTTTTCGAGTCCATCTATAGGCCACAATTGTAATCCGAACATCACAACACAACCCACGGTGAAGGGAATCTGTACAAGTAATTAGAAGGGCTGTACTGGATATTAGTAATATTGGCTGACCTCTAGAGATCAAGAGATTGCAAATATAGCGAATATTGCCCAAGCCCAGACTAAAGAACCACACAAAGTTACATTTCCGTGGATGTTGTGTAGGGTATCATATGATCGGCCCCGTCCGACTATACTGCTCCGCTCACTGGTCTACAATTTAACATGGACAGACAGACAGACGGACGGACTGACAAACATGCATAAATCGAATTAAAAAGTGATTCTATGCATATTCTAAAAAGGAACCATGTGTCTATCTCGTTTCCTTTTGACTGTTACAAACATATGCAGGAAGACATAATACCCTGTACCACAGTGTGGTGAAGGGTATAAATACGTGACAGGCCAAGTTTTTGACTTATCGCATTAGGGTTTTTTTCTAGTAAGCCTAAACTTCCCAGTGAAAAACGAAACAGATTATTTGAGATAAAATATCTGCATTCAAAGGGATATTTTTAAAGTACATTATTTCTATAACTCTCGTCCTTGTCCTTCTTCTTCATCCTTATTTTCTGGAACCGCAATTATTATACCTTACACAACTATGTTGTCACCCCCAAAAGTTTGTAACACCGCTAAATATATATTTCACGCTTATCGATTTGATATTTTACACGAAGTTCCGGTTATGGCCTACAATTTTCGGAGAAGATCAGATATGTGTGTTTTTTTCAAGTCGCTCTATAGGCCAAAATAATAAACTGTAGATTACAACTTAACACACGGTGAAAGGAACCTGACCAACTAATTTTAATGGCTATTTTGATCGGTCAATATTCCGCGGACCAAATCAACCTTTCTGTGCAAAATTATAAAATTTTCTTCTTATGACGTAAATCTTCACCCCGCGAAAAAATATTTCGATAATATGCCATGGTAAGAAAGAGTAGCTGTTTATCTCTAATCGGTCAAGAGGTGCAAATATCGCAAAATATTTTCCAGGCAAGGAATATATGAAATATTCATCATAAACATTTCGTAACCTATACGTACGAAATTCATTCTGCCCTATTTTAAATCCATTCTACATAAGATTAAAGTTCATTTTTTGTCTGTTTAATTTTGAGTTTTAAACAGTCTTTTTGCTTAGAAAACCAGGCCACGAAATCTAATCAATCATACTCTTTTGTCGTATGTGAGGAGTGTTTACGAAGCTGTGACTCTGTTTTCGTTCGCAGCTATCACCATCATCATCATCAATAACAGGGATATTTGGTGAATTTGATCTATGTACATAAATATGCTGCAACGCAGAAACTGGGAACAACAATGCGATAAAAAAGAAGATGAAGAAGATACAAGGAATAGCGAAAGTGTAGAAGTCAAAACCAATATTAAAATTCTATAACGATGCTAAACATATTTCTAATCAATCAACAATTTAACTAGCACATTTTAACCTAACTCCTGGCAAAACTACACACACATACATATATTAATCTTTTGCGGGGATTACCAATCTTCTAAAAGTTGACAGTTAATGCTATTGGGAGGAAGTTAAAAACAAACGAAAGTTTTGCAATATGGAAACAAAAAAACGTTCATGTCAATGTGAATTAAATGAGGGGTTTGTTTTAGGGTGGGGGAAATTATCACTTAAATGTTTCGAACAAGTTTACGTTTTTGTTACGTTAAAGATGTTGAACTTTGTGTTTTTGTTCAGCTTCCTGATGACAGGATGTTTAACATAAGTATTGTTGCTTAGACAATTAATTATCCTTATAAGTTGTAACATATTTTTGGGGAGCAGGAAGAACACGGCATCATGATGATGATATATGATGCTATTTAGGTGTGTTCGTGTAATATGAGTAATAATAACATATTATGATGTGTTGCGTTCATATATTTTCTTGGGGTGGCACTATGAAGTCTCAAATTATATGTAAGACAACCTCAGTTTATATATGAAAGTGAAAATGATTTGATTAATGTATAGCTGCACAGCATTATTATCATCATCATGATCGTTGTCGCCGTGGCATCATCATCATTATCCTATTAACATGAAATATAGAAATTGAATTTTGTCCTTGACACAGAAAGCATGTCAAAAGTTGTTTATCTATTACACAACACAGATTGTTATTAGGTGTTGGTATATTTTTTGGTTTTGTAGGGGAGAAATTATAATAAATTATGGTATTAGATGTATGTGGTTAAAAAAGTGTATACGTATAAGATTTTCTGTTTGTAGATGTGTAGAAAACAAAATATGTAATATGATATTACCGTATAAGTATTTACAATTATAATTTTTTTAAATTATACATGCATGAAAAAGTTGCATCCCACAGATTTTTAATTTCAATATGGGATTCGATAGTAAATTTACTGGAATTAAGGATATCAAAACATTAATGAAAATATTGATAATGATGTTTTTAACGGTTTTTAGTTATTTAGGAATTACATAGGTAAATGAAAGTATATGCATCTTCTTGATGTGTATTCAAAGCAAATAAATAAAGAAAGAGAAAGAAAGATTTATTATGGTAAAACATATTGGCGCTCTTCTTTCGCGCGTTGACGTTTTGAAGACCTCATTATTGTAGTAGGGGAAGGTACCCTATTTAGCCTTGTTGAACTGGCTTCAACAGAAATAATAATTTTAATTTCCCTCTGGTACCAAGTTTTAGTGAAAATCCAATTTTCAACATAATTTGCTATAACCTCATATTCTGAATTATAAATAAAGGGAAAATATCCCTTCTGAACGTTATGAATATTGATTGGTTTATGCTTCAGCATTGGGTAGAAAATTTCCCTACCAACAATCATCAATATTGTTTTTTCGAGATGGCCTCCATATAACATTTCCTCCCGAATTTTCGTATTTGATGGACTTTGAACAAGTTTTTATTTTTTGTTCTCTCCCCTACAAAAATTATCAATATTGTTCCATATATTGGTGTACTTTTCGAGATGGCCACCATATAAAAGTACCTACCGAATTTCCGTATTTATAGACTTTGTACACGTTTTTGGCACTTTGTATACCCTTCACCACACTGTGGTACTTTGTGCATATGTTTGTAACAGGCAAAAGGAACCGATATAGACACATGGTTCCTTTTGAGAATATCCATAGAATCACTTTCTAAGTTCATTTATGCATGTCCGTCCATCCGTACGTCTGTCCGTCCGTCTGTCTGTCGATGTTAAATTGTAAACAAAGTACAGGTCGCATCTATGATCCTAATCGGATGAAATTTGGCATAGGTCACTTATTTGGTCCAAGGACGAACCCTGTTGAAATTGGAAAAAATCGGTTCAGATTTAGATATAGCTCCCATATATTTTCTTCCGATTTAATGTAAATGGATCACCAATGTCCCTACATATCTTTCGATTTGCACGAAATATGGCACAGCGTAATGAATTAGGTCTAGAATGATGTGTGTTAAATTTCCTGAAATTCGGTTCAGATTTAGGTATATATATATATATATATATGTATATCATATATATATATATATATGCTTTAAATTGATTTACATAATTTTTCCCATCGTAAGAAGCAACTCTATATCCGACAAAATGAAAAATTTAATATAGGTTGCAGAATGACATGTTTATGGATCCAATTTCATTCAAAAATGCGACGTCTGTTAGGATTCATCTGTTGAATATACCCAAAGTGGTGAAGGGTATCATATAATCGGTCCTGTCCGACTTTACTACATTCCTTACTGGTTTTAAACCAATATGACTGTAATTTTTTTATTTTTTGTTCTCTCCCCTACAAAAATTTTGAACATTGTCCCATATTTTAGGAGACCTCATACAATGATAATCCCAGTGATTTTGGTTAAGTTTTTCAACCAAATATTTGTTCAATTATTTTTTGTTTTTAATAACAAATTATTATTTGCGTTTGGCTTTTTTAATAAATAGGATGATATAAAATATTCCCCAAATATCGTCTGATCTTCACCGAAATTTGTGTCGTAGCGATAGCGATCCGCTTGACATGTTCACCTTCGAGGTTTGTAAAGGTAATATTAATCATATTATGATTCGTAAACACTTGTGTTTAACTTAGTATAACTCCCACATCCATTTTATCATATTTTTACACAAAAGTCTGAGTCCATTTGACCTGTTAAATATTGACCGATCTTCATCAAAACATTCATACTTATTCCATGGTCAGACACATTTCTTTGAGCTAGCAGAATTACCGACAAAAATAAAGTTTTTGGTATATTTCATTTACCGACCATTGTCAAAAACAATAGGGGTCTTCTCTGGCCAGAACCCATCCTACATGCAAAATAACTGTATAACTGTAGGCTGTATCGTACTTACAAAATATAATGGACAGACGGACTGACGGACGAACACACATGTCTACATCGACTTAGCTAGTCGAGATATGACGATCGGTATACTAAAAAGTGGGTCTTGAACCAAATTATCGTAGGCCGAATTTCTATCCAATGGGTATTACGGGGTGCTTGACGAATATATCTAGGAATTGCTTACAAAATGTCGAGATATGACGATCTGTATACTAAAAGGTGGGTCTTGAACCAAATTATCGTAGGCCGAATTTCTATCCATTGGGTATTACGGGGTCCTCGACGAATATATCTAGGAGTTGTTAACAAAATGATAAATGACATTTTCTGTTTGGCATTCAACTTCAATGAAAGTATCACATTAATATTTATATAGTAATAAAGGATTCAGATGTTTTTTTTTTCGTTATTGCCCAATTGCAAAATACATACCATAATAAAGCTCACGTTCAAAATTAGCTGTTGGCACAACAATTAAAAATACCACGCCCGGCATTGTCACATAAAATTACACTACAATGCCTTTTACCGAAACACCCTCCGCCCTGAGGTGTTGCAATATTCTGATTATATTCACACTTCGATGGTGTTAGCCCCAACCAAACTTCTCGCTCTTTCTCTACGGTATTACTTATTTGCTTCAGGGATTACACAGGCTATTTATAACGCCTTTTGGGTATGTGACGGGTGTTTATGCTGCTATGCTATGCTGCAAAGAGAAAAAGAGAGAATCAAATGAAGTATATTTTCATATATATGTACGTTTGTAATATAAATTCTTGGTGGATTATATTTTTTGTTGACCAATACCTCGCCTCGCATCTTTATTTCTTTGTTAATGAATTGTTAGCAGAAGTTATTAAATTCAATGTGTTTATTTGTTTATAGCACGAGGGTACACATCAAAATTTATTTCATATTGTTAGGTGGCTGTTAATTGATAATTGAATGGAATTTTTTTGATATGACCATTTCAACTCGAATGTCTTCATCCATAATGTAAAAATTTATTATATGCCATTGGTTGTAAAAAACCATTAAACGCGACCATAACTGAAAGTCATATGGATGGCACTTATTTGGAAATGACCAAATTGCGGGCTTGTCTTTGTCTTTTCTATGTGAAATGAAAAATAAATGTTGTATGTATGTGTGCGAAAATGGTCCATATATATTTTTGTAGTACAATAAACAATATTATACGCACAAATATGTTATATGAGGAGACAACATAAATGCAATTGGTCAATAAATTTTATATAGAGTAATTAAAATAACATTGCATACCACTTAGGCGCTAAAAACAGGTTATATTGTTGCATATGCAATAAACAGTGAATATATATATGTGTAAATTATCTGCAAATATCAGAAATCAAATAGAATACATAATTTTTTTTTTTTTTTTGTACAGGAGTGATATAAATGATCGATTTATTGGGCCCATATTAAAAATTTAAAACCTAACTTTAGTTGAACACCTATTAATAATCACCGCCCCATTTTGATTACATTTTCATACTATTAAAAATATATTTAAAATTTTTGACATGTCATACAATTAATTGTTGTTGTTGTTTTGTCCGTATACCTCAACCTTAAGATTCAAGTGGTTGTATAAAATAACACTTGAAACCGAGGTTATGTGGTAAAACACAGCAATTTTCATTTGTCGACTTTTTAACATTTCTCAACAAAACTTCATGTGTCAAAACCACATAAGAAGTCTTAAAATACCAGTAGATATATTCAGAGAAGAAAGAGCAATTAATTAATTTGAAATCGTAAAATAAACAACGGGATGCATACTTTTAGGGGATGAGGGAATAAAAATGCTGAAGTAGGAATAGATAAAATGGGCTGTATGGAAACCAAAGGTCTTTATATTGACCAATTGGGCTGTATAGAGACCAAAGATCTTTATATTGACCAATTGGTCTGTATAGAGACCAAAGGTCTTTATATTGACCAATTGGGCTGTATAGAGACCAAAGGGTTTTATATTGACCAAAGGGGTTTATATTGACCAATTGGGCTGTATAGAGACCAGTGGTCTTTATATTGACCAATTGGGCTGTATAGAGACCAAAGGTCTTTATATTGACCAATTGGGCTGTATAGAGACCAAAGGTCTTTATATAGACTAATTGTGTTGACCAATTGGGCTGTATAGAAACCTCGGGTCCTTATATAGACCAATTGGTCGGTATAGAGACCTCGGGTCCTTATATACACAATTCGTCTGTATAGAGTCCAATGGTCTTTATATAGAAGACATTTCTACTTGACTTTTTATAGAACAAATTTCTACTTATTCTGAATATTTCGAAAACCTGTGTTTGTTTTTTGTAGATATTTTTTCTTAAGGAAAAAGTTGGCGTTGCAAAATAAATTCCAATATTTTTCAAAATATAATTTTTCACTAGTTGAAATTTTCATTTCAAAATCTACAGTCAAAGAGTTCAAATCATTTTTTTTATATTTTAAAGAATATTATTTTTTCAATTGCCTAATCAAAAAGAAAGGACAACCTTGGCAATGGCGGAGAGCAAATCGGCGAACCCCTTTATTTTATACATGGCGGACTACCGACGGGATTTAACGACAAGAGGTATTAAAAATTTCCCCGCTAGTGAAATATCAAAAATGGCTGGTGAGGGTTGGCGTGATATGACTCCAGAGGAGAAGCTGTCATATCAAGTATGGGCAGCAAAGAATAGAGGTCTACAAGATGCTGCAATGCGTCCAAGCCGGCGTCGTAGGGGGAAGTCCATGGGCGAAGGAAGACGACGTCGCAGCAGTCGTCGAGGAACATCGAGACGTTCCCGCCGTATATCGAGGAGAAGGAGGCCAAGGAAAGTGTAAAAATTCAAATGTGGAATAAAATTGAATATGTGTGTACAATTTTGAAAGATGTGAATAAAATTTATAATTGTTTTTTATTGAAAAAATACATAAAAAATATTTGAAAGATGTGAATAAAATTTATAATTGTTTTTTATTGAAAAAATACATAAAAAATATTTGAAAGATGTGAATAAAATTTATAATTGTTTTTTATTGAAAAAATACATAAAAAATATTTGAAAGTTGTTAAAATATATTATAAAATTGATTTTCCGGAAATATAGATTGTTTTGTTCACAGGAATGTAATGTTCTACAATATTTTGTACACATTTCCTCTATCTCCAAAATGTTCCGTGGTGAACAATTTCCCTTTCATATATTGATTTGGAATCCGGGATTTTCATACCTATTTTACAAGTAACAAAAATTCTAGTAATTCAACAAGTAAAAAGCTTTTCTAAGATCCGCCTCAAACCAAAATACCTCTTGAACTACCCCGACAGTTTTTTAGAACACATTTTGTGTCCAAAATGCATATGCAGAGTACACCAAAAGTTCCTTAAAGAAAAAAATTATTTTAATTGAAGTCCTTTCATTTTCACTTTCAAAGGCAGTTGTGAAAGTATCCAGAAAACAGAATTTTAAGCATTTTTTTTTGTTTAAATTATGGTTTCATCTACAACAAACGTTGTATAATTTTTCATATTAAAAAAAAAAAACAAAATTTTCTCATTTTTTCTCTCACCGTTTGTGTTGATGTTTTAAAGCTTTTAAAATCATAATTCATTATGGTAATATGTTAAGAAAATATCAACAAAGTCGTTACAAACAACCATACATACATACGACTGTTTAAGGTTATAATTTTAAGCATAATTTTCCTTTTGCTTTTACGGAACACCTTCTTTACAACATCATCTCCTCGTTTAAAAAACAAAAAAAGGAGGATGGCCAAAACGTAAGACTTTAAGCAGAAACACACACACGTCAAAACAAGAAACGTCTACAATTACAAAGCAAGTGGATTGAAGTGGAAAAGTAAAAGAAAAAATACATGCAACAAAAAGAAAATATAGAAATGAAAATGCCTCGGCAAAATAATAAACAAACAAAACAGTTTAAAAGTTAAAAGCTTAATTATTATAATTTTACGCAACATTTTTATTTTCATTCCACATAAAGCTTTTCCTTAGAACCCCGAGTTTCTCAGTGTGCGTGTGTGAGTAAGCGAGTGCGTTTATTTATATTTATTTAACGCAAGTAGTTTTTCTGTTGCTGTTTGAAGACATGTGATATACATTTGCCTACGTGTGAAGTGTCCTTTATATATTTTTCTCACATTCTACTCTTCATCTTCTTCTTTTTCTGCAACGGTTAAACTCTTACTTGCATTGCTCATTTTCTTCCATTTTATTTCTCCGTTGTTCATTTATTTTTTAAAGCAAACAATTTGCTGGTTAGCTGGTTAAACAAACAAAAAAAGTGTCGTAGCAGATAAGTTTTGTTCCTTTTTTTTCATATTTTTGCTTTGAAAAGGATATATAATTGTAGCCGTAACGTGATGTCCTTAAATGTCAAAGGCTAACGCATTAATGAGAGCCTTTCTAATGTGTCATTTTTTAATCATAGTCATATGTATTTTCTTGTTTCGTACAAAATTCTGATAATTAAAAGACTTTAGTTAAATTCTACTTTACGGGTTGTTGAATGCCATCGTTAAAGTGTTACCGTTCTTTTGCCTTAAAAATCATGTATGTTTTAATTTATTCTTAGCCACTCTCAAGGAAAGCTAAACGAAAGTTTTAAACTATGGGGTTTTCCTATGAGAAACACAAAAGCAGTAAAGAAAGTAGTAAACACTCTTCACCACTTTGGTTAAATTCTACATATGTATCCTAGCAGACGTCTCTTTTCGAACAAACTTTGACATAAAACTGAACGAACTTAGAGTCGTTCAGATTAAGTCTCGTTTCCGCAAAATGGGAAATTTAGTGCGGTATGGCACACTTTTTTAAAATGTAATCTCAATCAGACACCCATTCGAAATATATATGGAAGTTATGTCTGCTTTTGCACCAATAAAAAAAAAACAAAAAAAAAACGCAGTAACGTCATTTTGGTCTCAAATTGATACGTTGTGAAAAATTTCGTGTCAATCGGACAAACATTAGGATTTTGGATTTTGCACCAATTACCTAAAATCCGACGGAAATATATATGTGACAGCAATATCTACATCTGAAACGATTTCATCGAAACATGCCAGAGATTAATTTATATTAACTTCAGTACATTGCACAAATTTTTATGCACATCGTACAAACTTCATGTAGTTTGTGCACAATTTAGATAAAATCGGAAGAAAAAGAAAAAAAAACATGGGGAAAATAAATCCATTATTATTATATGAACTATAGTACTTTATTTAACATGCTTCGGAATATCCGATTAGCTTTCATAATGTCCCTCTCATAGAAGTCCTGCTCCCTATTTGCAAAAAAAACTCTAGTAGTCGATTTTCACAATCCTCCCTAGATACCAATTTTTTATCATTAAAGAAATTTTGCAACGCCAGAAAAAGATGATCATCGCTTGGTGCCAAGTCCGGACGGTATGGCGGACGCATTAAAAATTCTCAACCAAAAGTTTCTGGCGAGTCACTGTAGATGTGTGTGTGGGCTAACGTTGTCCTGGTGGAACACGTCACCTC